GGTTTTTTATCTTCATTTTCCCAGATAGTTAAACTTCCACTGTTAATCCGGAGAAATGAAATTTCAATATAGGCGACCTATTCTCTTTCTACCAGAATGAGATACGCCGTGATTTCGTACATAAACTTGAAATACAATAAATTATTTGTTGATAGATTTACTGCAATGCTAATTAGTGTATTTAATTTTATTTTTCGGGAGCCAACGTACAAATATTTCTCCTTTTTTTTTTCGTCGGTTTTATTTTTAATGCTGTGTACGTTAAGGACATGGGCAATCATTATTTTGCAGTCTGAATTTCTGGGATGTAGAGCTATACTTACTTTCATTATTCATATTCTGACTATTGTCTACATTTTTTTGTTTCTATCACAGCCTTCCTCAGGTGTATATCGATCGGGGTAGCCTACAAGAAATTCTGAACTGAAACCTTTATTTAATCTCCGAGGGTAGACTCTTCTCATTCTGCTGTTCAAGTCTCGGGATATCTCGTGTAGTTTTTATTTTCATTTAGTATTCAGTTATTACTCTCCCTCCAGCCTTCCTCGGGTTTATATTTATCTAGGTAATCAACAAGGAATTCTTCACTGAACCCTTTATTTAATCTCCGGGGATAGACTGTTCCCGTTCCACTGCTCATGTCTAGGGATATCTCGCCTTGTTCTTATTTCATTTAGTATTCAGGTATTGATCACCCTCCAGTCTTCCTCAGGTGTATATCGATCTAGGTAATCTACAAGGAATTCTTCACTGAACCCTTTATTTAATCTCCGGGGATAGACTGTTCTCGTTCCACTGCTCATGTCTAGGGATATCTCGCCTTGTTCTTATTTTCATTTAGTATTTAGGTATTGCTCACCCTCCAGCCTTCCTCAGGTGTATATCGATCTAGGTAATCTACAAGAAATTCTTCACTGAACCCTTTATTTAATCTACGGGGATAGACTGTTCTCGTTCCACTGCTCATATCTCGGGATATCTCGTCTAGTTCTTATTTTCATTTAGTACGGCTCAGTTATTGCTCACCCTGTTTCCACTGAGTCAGGGTACCCACCGCCTGGCCCAGGGATTGAACTCACGATTATTGTCACCAAAGTCATGGGATAATTGCTGTGTGGATTAAAGCGTTGTCCTCGTCTTTGTTGTTGATATCACAACGTTTCGGTTGTTGTGCTCTCCGTCCTTCTTCAGATGTATATCAATCTTCGTAGCCTACAGAGAATACTGAACTAAACATTTTATTTATTCTACAGGTGGGTAGATTTCTCGTTCCATTGTCTATGTCGAGGTTTAACTCGTCTACCGTCTTATTTTAATACTGTGTACTTAATGCTCGCCTTTTCCCACTAATTCCAAGTACACACTGTCCGACCCAGGGTTTGAACTCCCAACCACTATGTCACCAAATTCACAAACCAAAACTTTAATCCACTGTAGGGTACCCAAATCGATATGCACCTGAGGAAGGTCGGAGACCGCAATGTCCAAAACGTCGGGATACCAGCAACAAAGATGAAGACTGTAGTGTAAAATTGTTTTACCTTGTATTTTTGAATTACCACGCATTCTGCATTGGGAAAGATAAGTGGTTTGGGAAATCAGATTTTCCTTTTTCTAGACTGGCTGCCAGCCATGTCTACCCTGATATTTAATATATACTTACGGAGTAAGAAGGGACGAATTCGTGCATTTACCAGTGGCATTAATGCAGACCAGTCCGGAATCATCCACATACGGTGTCAATGTCCATTACGCTACTTGCCCATACCTTTTGTCAGTTTATCATTATTTTAAGAAAAATAGGACCTGTATACTTACAATCAGAATGAGACAGTTGAACACATAATTAGGAAAGAGATGCATTTTAGTTCCCTGATGCTTTTATCACTTTTGTTATTAAGCATTTTAATAATGGATGATACACTAAGTGAAATATTTTAAGAACCTGGACCCAAATTTAGCATGGATGATCTAAACTGCGGGTGGGAGAAGAGTCGAAGTTATTCCTTTCCCAAGGTTATTCGCACGTAAGTGAATATAGCGGAATTGGAACTCAGCTCTCCGGGACATTATCCTCTACAGCTCCCGTACATTCAAGCTTACAGCGCCTGATATTTTCAAGCGGTCACTCATCTAGACACCGACCTGGCTCGACCTTGCTTAACTTAGGTGACCGTATGGGAACCAATGTTTCAACGAGATGCATCACACACTATTTAGTTATTAGATTGTTTATTAGAAGATTAATGTTATATTTCAAAAACTAAGTTAAAAGAACAAATGCAGCTTAAATTTGGATCGGAATTCGACAGGATGGTAAAATAAAGAACAAATTGGAAACGTATATCAATCTGACATGTTTCAATTTTATGAAAGCAATGACGTTTGGTTCTCAGTGGTTTGACAAGTGTCACGTCCTTTGAAACCGTAGATAATTCTATGTGTATGTAAATTTGTGAAGATTCTTATATATCTAAGCGGGTATCAGATGGTAATGTGTATTCGTAATTGTGCATGCGTGTGTCTAGTGGCAGTTCTGATGTCTTCACCTTTATGCGGTATGCCCGCGTAGGGGGTGGATGTCACATGGTTCTAATTTATGGTGACCTCTTTAAGGATGTATTCTTTGTATTGGATTATGTGAATATAGTGATACACACTTAAAATATTAAGTGTTTCTGGTCTTATTTTGTTCTGGTCTGGTCTGGTCTGGTCTAGTCTGGTCTGGTCTGGTCTGGTCTGGTCTGGTCTGGTCTTCGCATATCCGCTCGTTGTGCGGACCTCTCTAGACTGAGAAAAAATTGGTGTTATATAGCTCTCCTAGTCCCAGATTCACGCCGTCTATTGGCTAATAACGGCTCAGTATCATTCATACGCAAATAGTGCTACCTATTCTAATTTTTTTCTCAACGGCCTATGGTGGAAGGGGACGCAACTCCTGATGCTTAGAGCACCACATACAACCAACTCGGAGTCTTTTATCAGGCAGACCCGATTCTCTGTTACACGGGGCTAGCCTTGATTTTCTTTTATAAGTCTCCCTAAGTCACATAAGGGCGGTTTTCTGTGGAGCCCTTCTCCGGTTAGGATTTAACCTTCTTATGTTCTTAGTTAATGTGAGTATAGTTTCTGGCATGTCCGGACGTTGAGGGCGCCTCTCTCTCTCAACAACCCATTGTGGAAGGGGAGGCAACTCCCGATGCTTACAGCATCACATACAACCAACTCAGAGTCTTTTATCGGGCTTACCTGATACTCTGTTACATACTTAAAATCTAAAATTAAAAGATTGTTTGGTTTACTTTAAAGAAAGAGAGGTCCTTAACCTGTCTTAGCGAATTTATTTAGCGAGAGCAAATAAAAAATGCCCGGAAAATATACTTTTAGAAAATTTTAATTACTGTTACTCGTCGTTATGTTTTTATTTCTTTTACTGACACTTTTATAAACATATGAATAAATGATGGGATCTTTTCTCTTAATTCACCCCCCCACAATAGTAATTCACCCCAAAATAAAAAGAATTTATATTTATTAAAATTCACACCAAATTCTCCCAAAGCGAGACCCTTCCATTGCTCTCTGATTGGATTAACCTTTGCGACTGCCCCAAATGTGGCCGAATCGGGTATGCTATTTCTAAGTATGGGGTCTACGTTCGCGCTCAACCCGATAAACAAGCCCAGAACATTTTTTTTTTTAAATTGTAAAAAATTCTTTTTAAATACCTCGAATATCATCCGTACTTTCATAATGTGAATAATTCCCTGATTTTTGGCAATTTTTACATTCTGAGGTTTTGAGTTGTTTCGAGGCAAGCTAAACAAATTTTGATTTTAAATTTATATATTCAAAAGAGTAACAAAAATTTAATAATAAAAAAAAAAACTTTGATTGGTTTGTTTTGGTTTGGTATGTTTTACGGCTTATCAAACTCAATAGGTTATTTAATGTCGACAAGATTTTTATTGCTGGTAATATTTTTTTTCAAAAATGTATTGCCGGTAATATTTTTCTTTTTCAATGGGCATCTTTTACACCCTTGTGCAAATTAATTGAAACAAAAAGAATATAATTTCGTTATTATTTACTCTTTTTCGCATTTTCCCAATGAAACATGACCTAATGCAGATATTAAGACTACGTATGCCCATTTCTCGAAGTCATTCCTTGTAGATTGACCAAAGATTTTCGATTAGATTTAAATCATGAAACTTTCTGGACCATTCTACAGTACTTTGATTTGCTCATTGGTAAGGCTTGACAGTGCGTTTGTGCAGCATTACAATTTTTATACGCTTCCTTGGAGTAACGTCCATCGTGGACAATGGCTGTAGAACAACTAATCGACAGTCGAAACAATAGTGTCTGGGCGTGATGAAAATCTGATGCAATCACGGATGACGCAGTATTTTTCAAGGCTAAACAAATTTCATCATACTCGTTGAAAATAGATTCATATTAGTGCACACAACTGCAAATGACCTACTCTGAGGAAAAAATAGAAATCGATTAAATTTATTTGTTATTTAAATGGAACAGACAATGAATCTCTAATATGTTTGATCAGGAGCTGTTCCAAACCTCGTATGGTTGCTTCAATTTCGGGTGAAAATAAAGACAAAAATTAATTAAAAAATACCCAAATGTCAGACAAGTTAGACTTTATTTTCACCCGAAATTAAAGCATACATACGAGGTTTAGAACGGCACATGATCAAACATAACTGACATTTTTTGTCTGTTATATTTAACAATATATGTTTAAATAAGGTTCTACTATCTCAATACACTATATATATATATATATATATATATATATATATATATATATATATATATATATATATATATATTTTAAACATCTGTGTGTGTGTGTCTGTGTTTGTAGGTGTGTTTCACTAGTCAAAAATTTTTTAGGTATTTTTTTTTTGCGAAGGTCGGTCGTCTTTCTACCCAAGAGATACACTTTTTGTCTTCGTCTTACATAATCTTTTAGATTACAAACCTGACGAAAATGGGGAAGAAAAAAGAAAAGGAAGGATTAATAAAGCTCTTGCAAAATAATGAAGGAGAGAAAAAAAAGTTTGAAGAAAGAAAGAAAGAAAGAAAGAAAGAAAGAAAGAAAGAAAAGAAAGAAATGAGAAATGAAAAAAATGACAGAAAAAAAGAAGGATTAGGAAAACAAAGAAAAAGAACAAAATGTAATAAAAAAGAAAGAAAAAGAATGAAAGAAAACGACAATGAATAAAAGAAAAAAAGGAATGTAAAAAAATAACAAAATGAAAGTAAAATTTGAACACTTGAAAATTTTTAAAATGCAATAACATTTTTACTGTGGTATATAAATACTTGTTACAAATAAAATACTTTTGTCTTGATAAAGTTCCTCAAAGGACGAAACGCATCGGCTAAGATAAGTTTTCCTTTTAACTTTATTCATATATATATATACATGAATTCGACTGAAATTCGAACTCGGCTCTCCGATTCCTCAATCCAATCCGATCCGATATCCAATACTCCACTATGCTAATACCTTTGGGAATGGTGTGAATCCTCTTCTTCTCCCCCCAGCTATGGGTAAATACCAGGACAGACTGGGTTCTATAGCCTTGGATGGCAACTGGTCTAGGAGAAGGACAACTCTGAATTCAAAACCTGTAAAGGGTCGTTTGTGGACCTTGTGGCACTTAGTGCACCAGGTCTCTGTATTCGGCTGTTCAAAAAGTGTGGCTGGTCTTGCAAGAAACCTTCACCACTATAATCAAATCAGTTTCCTAGGAACTAAGCTGCTTGACCCTCATACGTCGCATTCGACAAGAGAGTCAGTATATATATATATATATATATATATATATATATATATATATATTTTAAACATATATTGTTAACTATATCAGACAACGAATGTCTATTATGTTTGACCATGAGCCGTTCTACACTTTCTTTAATTTCATCTTCAGAGTGGTTATACGGACAGTTATACAAAGATATTCGCCATCAAATATGATATCCTGTTATGTTGACAGAGAAAATTTCTACGCGACGATAACGGTCGCGGAATAGCAGACGCAGGTCCTAAATTCATGATGCGGTTCTATAACGTCGTACCACGTGAGAAAACGAAATATTAACAACAGAACCACATGTGAGCTGAAAGCTTAGATCAAGGATCAGATTAATAAAAATATATCCAAATCTTGGATAATTTTTTTTTATTTTCTACCGAAATTAAAGCAACCGTACAAACATAAAAGACTTAGTTGTCTGTTATATTTAACAATGTTTGTTTCAATTAGCATCTGCTACCCCAATACACTAAATATATATCTACATATATATTTATAAATGGGGGGAGGTGTGTGGGGGGAGGTGTGTGGGGGGAGGTGTGTGGGGAGAGGTGTGGGGTGTGTTGGGTGCGTTTCATTGGTCAAGACTGAGAAGGTACTTTTTAGTTTTTTATTATATTTAGCGAAGGTCGGTCGCCTTTCTACCCAAAAGATAAACTTTCTCTCTTCGTCTTACATAATCTTAGATTAGAAACCTGACGAAAAAGAGGAAGAAAAAGAAAAAGAAAAAAAAGAAGGAGTGATGAAACCCTTGCACAATGATGAAGGAGAGAAAAAAGAAGTGTAAAGAAAGAAAGAAAGAAAGAAAGAAAGAAAGAAAGAAAGTAAGAAAGAAAGAGAGAAGAAAGAAAGAAATGAAAAAGCGACAGAAAGAAAGAAAGATTAGGAAAACAAAGAAAAAGAACAAAATGTAACAAAAACGAAAGAAAAAGAATGAAAGAAAACGACAAAGAACGAGAGAAAAAAGGAATGTAAAAAAAATAACAAAGTAAAAGTAAAATTTGAAAAAACAAAAAAAACGTAAGAAAATAATAAAAAAATGAAAAAAAAACAAAAAGTAAAACAGAAATAAAAAAAGAATAATGATGAACGAGAGAAATAAAGAATAGCAAAAAATGTCGAGCGAATGAAAAAAAATAGAAAATTAACGGAAAGAAAATCAAGAAACGAAAAATGGCAGCGAAAGTAAAAAAAAACAAAAACAAACTGTGAAGAAAAGAAGTAAAATAGAAAATACGAAAGCAAAAAAAAAAGTGCAAGAGATAGACTTGAATAATGAAAGGGAAATGAGCAATCGCAGCTGTAATGAAAGCAAGTTCTAAGCTGTTATCTTTTAACAGGCACTTATCTCCCTAAGAGAGAATTCTTTAAAATGGCGGTGTAATGAGAATTGTTTAGAGGCCGTCAATTAATTTGCAATCACCGAGACGAATAAAAATTAAGAACGAAATATAAAAGAAAAATGGAGAAAAAGAGGAAAGTGATGAAACATAGAAGAAGAAGAATAAGAACAAGCAGAAACTGCTTGGAAACAGTGAATTGAACATGCAAGAGAACGCACGCGCGAAAGATTTGATTTCTTCAAGAGTGGAGGTGGGATTAGAGAAACTACACTTGTTTAAAATGAAAGAAGAAGAAAGCTGAAGTAAAAGAATGAAAAGAAGAAAAAAAATAAAGGAAGATGGCGAATACGGGGTTAAATACATGATAAGAATAAAAGATAAAAGGAAAGACAAAATTATAATAAAAGAAAGAAACATTCAAAGAACAAGATTGAAAGACGAGAGAAAATACAAGACAGTAAAGAAGAAGACAGACAAAAGAAAGAAAGAAAGAAAGAAAGAAAGAAAGAAAGAAAGAAAGAAAGAAAGAAAAAGGAAAGAAAGGAAGGAAGAAATGAAAGTATGGACAATTGGAGAGAAAGAAATTAAAGGAAGAATGAAATTTTAATTAAAATGAAGGAAAATGTAAAAGGAAAGAATAACAGGA